TCTTGATTAAGGGGTGCCTGGGTGACTCAGTTGGTTAGGCAACTACCTTCGGCTCAGGTCATGATCCTGGAGTCCTGGGATCGAGTCCCACATCGGGCTCCCGGCTTGGCAGGGAGTCTACTTCTCCCTCTGACCTCTTCCCTCTCATGCTCTCTTTCTCTCTCATTCTCTTTCTCTCTCTCGCAAATAAATAAAATATTTTTTAAAAAAAAAAGAATCTTGATTAAATCAGTAAGTCTCAAAGGTGGTGTTTGTTCCCTGAAACACAACAGACCTGACGCTGCACACCGAGCCCAGTGGTTCATGACAGAGGACAAAGGACTTTTCACCAGAGTCCAAAAACCAAAATTCCCTGAGCCACCAGTGGGACTTGTCTCCCTCTCAGGTGTTTTCATGGAGGCCACTAAGAAAGATGACCACTTGTCTCAATCCAGTGTCTCACTCTGCCTATTATTTGCTGTGTGAACGTGAACAAATTCCTTAATATCTTTAAGCCTCAGGTTTTTCATCTGTAAAATGCAGATAGTATTTCTACCTCTTCATAAGGCTGTTGTGAGGGTTAAATGGGGTAGTCCATAAAACACACTTAGTATAGGGTCTGGCGTATGATAAAGATTTAATTGGGACACCAGGGTGGCGCAGTCTGTTGAGTGTCCTACTCTTGGTCTCAGCTCCAGTCACGATCTCACCGTCTTGAGATCGAGCCCTGCATTGGGCTCCAAGCTCAGTGAGGAGTCTGCTAAAGTTTCTCTCTCCCTCTCCCTTCGCCCCTCCCCTCTCTCCCTCTCTAAAGTGAATAAACCTTTAAAAAAGAAGATTTTAATTGGCATTTAGCTCTTGTTGTTGTATTTGCTTTAGAATGACTTCAACATATATCTGAAATAAAAATTCCAACTATCCAAAAGAAACCCATGTTCTCAGTCCCCGCTTCTTTGAACTAGGAAAGCGTCATAAATAGCACATCTAATGTTTTCTCATTTGATTTCTAGGTCATGAGGGTCGAATTGGCATGGCCGCAATCAAAATGAAGGAAAACTGTGAATTCGATGGAAAGAAAATATTTAACCATGTTGCCGATTACCTGCCCACATATGCAAGGCCCCGGTTTCTAAGAATACAGGTGAGACCTCTCGCTGTGGAGTTCATTTATCCTCTCTCTCAGAGACAGCTGTCTCTGAGAGAACAACTCCCTTCTACCATGGCAACCCTATTAACCAAATTTTCACCACCCCTAACCTGGAAGCTCAATAAGGAAGCAGAAATAATCAGAAAATAGAACTAGCAGAAGCCGAATTCTGATCCCTTTCTCACTAAAAGACAGACCAGTTCACTCAGCAGCAGCATTAGCAGATAACTCACAAAGTCTGTGTTTGATGAGACATGACAGGCACTTGAAACAGAAATGCTCCGACCCTCCTCTTTGTTGTTTCCAGTTCTAAAGAATGGAAAAATCCACTGTAGTTCTACATCTTTCTAAGGTGTGAAATTTAACTGGGCATCATTAGCCGGTTGGAACTATCAAAGGCTTAAAACTCTCACCACAAGAGGGATTTTTTTTTTTCTTTCTCAAACCTTAACCCGTTGGTTAGCTTAACACTCTCACTTTTGGACTATGAACTCTATGATTCTGTAGCTGGAGACCTGAGAAAAGAAATATTAGATTACCTGCTATTGCAGAAGTTATAGGGTTATTTCTGTTGATGTTCATAAAGCACTGACATTTGCTTTTATGACGAGAATGGCTGAGAGATGTGAACATTGAAATACCCTCAAGTCTGCCATCACCTATCAACTGAAGAAAGAAAAAGCCGTCTGTGTGAAGATGATTCCCTAGCCCCGCCCCTCCATAAATTAGGATATTCTAGTAACACCTGGAGCTCAATAAGCAGTTCTACTCTGCCTTTCACCATCCACAGCCCCTCATGCCCCACAGGTGATTTTAAAGCCTCAGGGGAATGAAAAACTACCTCTACAAAGGCCAACCCCCCACCTTGTGGAGCTTCTGTAAACCCAAGGTATTGATACGTGGAACTGCCCTTCACAGGTTCCACCTGAACCAGCCCTCCTGTCCCACCTCTGCCCCTTGGCCTAAACCCTCATCTGTTTACAAAACCTTCCACCAATGTGGACTGTTTGCTGTTTTTCAGGACACCATTGAGATCACTGGAACTTTTAAACACCGCAAAGTGACCCTCGTGGAGGAGGGCTTTAACCCGACAGTCAGCAAAGATGCCTTGTATTTCTTGGATGACAAAGCAGAAACGTATGTGCCGATGACTGAGGACATTTACAATGCCATCAATAATAAAGTTCTGAAACTCTGAATATTCCTGAGAGGCTAACTCACATTTCCAGAAAGAAACTGAATGAACCCAGTACAGCCATTTGGTGTAATCCAACCTTAATTTGATTGAACATTGCGAGATGCAATTTTTTTATGCATTCCAAAAAGGGAGGCTTTTTAAAAATTACACCTGAACCTTGACATGTGAAAATATTTAGAGATAAGTATTTTTTCAATTTGCAGAGCAAGCTTGTTAGAGGGTGCATTATTTTCTAAAATATATAATAAAATAGATGAATGCCAACCGATGTGATGACATTGTCTCTTTCTTGACTTTTAAGTGCAAAAACCCTGAGCCTAACAGTGTCATTGGCAACTTTTCATACATATCCTAACTCATCATAATAATAATGGCATTGTAGATTAAAAAAAAGTAAAGACAAAAATAAATTAAAAATGGCAAGAAGCTGAAAGGTAAGGGGGCTGGGTCACTAATGAGCAGTCCAGTGGAAATCCAGCTCCAGTGTGAGGCCAACTCTCCCCTCCTCAGAGCATCTGGGCCACTGTCTACAAACTGCATTCTTCAGCAGGTGAGAAGACCACCTTGACTCCTTAAAGGAGCCTAAGCCAACAGTATCAGAATTCTATACATGGAAGGTGTTAGTAGACATTTCTTAACTACATCAAGGATTGTACACTCACGTGTCTTCAGGATTCACATTAGTAATGGGGATGAGATAAACAGGTCGCGAATGTGGCAAACTTGAGGGCAGCCACTACTGGGTTTCAGTTGGCTGATGATTGTCCTGTGGGGTTACAGCTCGGGCACTTCTAAGATCTGATTATTCAGAAAACAGAAACCCAGCTATTTGTGAATCCTCCAGTGTTTTAAATGTGAAGGCTCAGATTTTATAAGGTTTCCATGGACCTGAACAAAATGTTATCTGTGGGCCAGATAAGTACCAGATCTCCAGTTAGTACCCTCCCCGCCAAGTCCCACATGCTCCTCAAACCTGAGACGATTTCTCTCCACAGCCAATCTCCTGACAAGCAGCCTGTTTAAGGACCTAGGCCCCCTGGGCATGATGCGGGAGGGTTAGGAAGCTTAGAGGAGGCTTTGCAGACAGGCTCTTTCTCCTTACACTTAGCCAGCTCCCTTCTTGAGGAGAAGTCTTTAACCTCAGCCTGTGTCAGTTGTACAGTCTTAGGAGCAGGTCCCTGGTAGTGGCAATCAAGACAACATATTCTTTACTGAAGCTTATCCTAGGAAACAGGAACTTCATGGTTACTAAGTCCATGTCCAAAAAGTGTAATCCAGGTTCACCCCAGTCTCCCTAAAAGAAGTGGAATTTCCTTCTCTAGAGGACATCTTCAGATGACCAGGAGCTGGCAAGGAGCCCCAATGCTCCCCCAATTTAATCCTCCTAAGGCCCCAGGAAAACATATTCCGGGATCCTCCATGATAGATGACAAGAGGGGTCACCACCCCCACCCCCAACACAGTTCTAGAAATATTTATTAAACTCTCTCCATTTTTTTAAGTGACTAAGAAGACTTGTGACCAGAATCCTTGCCCCTACTTATTATGCCCAATGATGAGTAGTTCCTGAGCACTTAATATGCCTAAAGGACCTGAGGATGGCCCCAGGAAAACCCCAGATACCCCTGTGTATTTGTGAATTTTGCCAATAATTTAGAACATTGTTGCTTGTGGGTCAGCACTTAAGAATTTTTGCAAAATTCTAAATAATCTCTGTCTTTGCTGTACTGATCTCCTAGGGACAATTTGAACACAAATGATGGGAGAGAACATGACTTTTGTTCTTGGAAATACCACATTGTGCAATTATGTGACTTCTGATCTTGTTAAAGTAATTCTGGTTGTAAGCAGAGGTTATATTAAAGCATGTGTTCTCAGATGAGAGCTCAGTACTTACACTGTTATCCAGAACATTCATTTTTCTGTAACCAGAGCCTAATGGGGCCTGACCACCTTTTTTTTTTTAATATTTTATTTATTTTAAAGAGGGAACCTTGAAATGTACTGAAGGACTGGGGGGGCCTGCTGGACCGTAAGCTTCTGATCAGTTATGGCACGATGGAAATAGCATGGGCTTTATTGAAGACAAGGAGACCTGGCTTTGCCCATTTACAAGCTTTTGTGACCGGGGGCCTCAGTCTCCTCATTTATAAACCATGAGTCACAGTGCCTGACTCAGACTGCCTGCCTTCTTCATACCAAGTGCTCCTCCAAAGTCATTCTTTCAGAGTTAAATCCACGTCTTCAACATCCTGAAAAGTAGACTCCGTAAGCACATACATTAAGGCTCCAGGATGAGCTCTGATGAATTAGCCAATGTCTCAGTGGTCAATTAAGTCACACAGGATATTTTTTCAGGGACAAGTACAATTTATTTCTACATTGTATCTCATATCACAAGCTGAACCACAGAAGGTGCCTGTCAGTACCCTTCCTGGGGTCCTTTCGCTCTGACGAGATGGCTGGGACCTTCTAGAAGTACCATGCTGGCTTAAGCTCCCCCATTTGTATCGTATCATGGGTCACGAACCTCTGTGAGAATCTGATAAAATCATGGGCTCTCTCTTAAGAAAAATGCACATACACATAAGCGCACAAATTCAGCATATAATTTTGAAGGGCTCAGCAATCGCCTGAAACACGTTCTTGGATTCAGGCTGAAACCCCTGGTCTAAACTAAACCATTGCCTGCAGAGGGCAACAGGGTAACTGCAGCCCACACTGAGAGCTACATTCAGGAAAGCTTGGGACACTGTAAAACTTGATGAGTTTTTTGAAGGCACTTTTCTTCAGCATCATCATCTCTTCTGGGAACCTAGAGAAGATTCTGGCCCTAGAGGAGCCACCATTCTTCACAGAGCCATCCGTGGGCAGCGGCTTCTGAACACTCACAGGCATGCTGTTGCAACTGAAGGAACGCACTGCCTTCTTCTTATTTTGCACGGACAAGTAACTGAACAGGAAGGAGGACAGCTTGTGCTTGGTGACGTCTGGAGCCTCTTCAGAAAAGCAGTCATCATCAAGTGGGTCCAGGAGCGTTTCAAGATGGCAGCTGTCTTCCCTTTTCATAGGACTGGCTCCTACACGCTGAGGCTGCTTGATGATCTTCCTGGCCTGCGCTGGGACAGAGCCCACCCCATTGGAAGACTGAAGGAACATTCCATTGGCCAAGGCTCTGGGGCCTGTGGTTTGGGGGATGAGGTTCTCAACCTGAGGGCTAGGTTGGGAAGTACAGTGCTGACTCAGGACGAGAGTAGCAGCGTCTTGAATGAGATTCCAGTCTCTCAGGATGTCCTCTCTGGTGGTGAACTGGGATGTCACAGTGAAACGGATGATCAGTTTGTCCTGGATAGTGGCCGGGATGAGGAAGAGACGGCCAGCTTTAGCTATTTCCTTTAATACACTTTCTGTGAGACAATTAGGACCCTGTTTAAAGAATAAAGAGAAATGACATCTATGTCACATCCCCCTAAGCATCCCCAGAAGCCCAGTATTTATAGATCCAAGAGGCTGAACAACCATCAACTGACATAATTATAAGCCATGGGATACGGCATTACTGGCATTACCTTTAGACGAAAAACCACCAGGCCAAGGTGCCTCTTGGCAGGAATTTCAAAGAAAGGGTCATTCCTGACCAGAGACTCAAAATATTTTGCCATTTCAGTACCCTAAAATTGTAAATATAGAGAGAACTGAGATTAATAATCAGGAAAGGGACAATTCCACATAAAGTTTCACACTGCTAAATGGGTTTAAACGTGACATCTTTGAGCCAGAGTTCTGAATGGCTTCTGCCTGATTCTCTCCATTTGATGTAGCTCATATTCCAAGCTGGGAAACCTCCTGTGAGCAATGTCCTATGGCTTGTCATCATCAGATCCACCTCAGGAACTCATTTCTGAGGGCCCTCTTTCAGCTCAGCCCCAGAGCTAGAAGGCATGTGTTTTGCCATCTGTGAAATCTGGCCTCAGATCCTGGGCTTCACAGGTTTCTGACTGGTCAAGGTGGCAAGCGAGGGCCAAAGTCCAGCCCATTGTCTGCATTCCCAGCTAGGAACTTTGTATAGGCTGGATCTGCCCAGAGGAAGAGATTCTTTTCACAGTATGTAGAGGCACCATGTGGGTTCTCAACAGCCCTGTCCTTATCCTAAGCCTACGTCTTTCCCTTGCCTCTCAAACCTTTTCATACCTTCCCTATACCTCACACGCTGTTTCATGACCCCCTCTTTTTTTGTTCCCATTCCACAAGGAATATATTTTTTATACATCCTCCCCACATACATCATAGAAAACTCTCAGGGCACCTCGGTGGCTCAGTCCATTGAGCACCTGCCTTCAGCTCAGGTCATGATCTCAGGGTCCTGGGATCGAGCTCCACATCAGTTTCCCTGCTTGGCGGGGAAGACTGCTTCTCCCTCTCCCTCAGTGGTCTCTCTCTCTCTTAAATTAATAAAGAAAATATTTTAGGGGCACCTGGGTGGCTCAGTGGGTTAAAGTCTCTGCCTTCAGCTCAGGTCATGATCTCAGGGTCCTGGGATCGAGCCCCACATCAGGCTCTCTGCTAGCAGGAAGCCTGCTTCCTCCTCTCTCTCTGCCTGCCTCTCTGCCTGCTTGTGCTCTCTGTCAAATAAATAAACAAAAATCTTAAAAATATATATTTTAAAAAAAGAAGAAGAAAGAAAGAAAGAAAGAAAGAAAGAAAGAGGGAGTGAAGAAGGAAAGAAGGAAGGAAGGAAGCTCTCTGCACCAGTTTAACAAGCACAGAATTTCTCTTTGGGATGAGGGAGAAAGTTCTGGAAATAGTAATGATGGTTGCAAATATTGGGAGCATACCTAATGTCACTGAATTGTACACTTAAAAATGGTTAAGATAGGAGTTCCTGGGTGGCTCAGTGGGTTAAAGCCTTTGCCTTCAGCTCAGGTCATGATCCCAGGGTCCTGGTATCAAGCCCCACATCGGGCTCTCTGCTCAGCATGGAACCTGCTTCCTCCTCTCTCTGCCTGCCTCTCTGCCTACTTGTGATCTCTGTCTGTCAAATAAATAAATAATTTTTTTTAAAAATGGTTAAAATTGTCATTTTTACATTAGGGATATTTTCCAACAATAAAAAGAATTTTAAAACTTTGTACCATATTAATCCTTCATTGAAGTTTATGTCATTTTTTATTTCCTTTTTTTTAAAACCTAAGATTATTAACTAAACAAGGACAGGACTTACCTTTTCTTTCATTTCTAAAAAGTTTCTTCAAGCATCCAGAAGGATCTCAATAAAATATTTGCTAATTGCTCTCACCTGGTTCTCATTGAATCACCTGGTTCTCAGACTTGATACTCAATTTCAAGAGAACTCAAAAGATTTTAGCTAATCACACCACTTTTGCCCCAGTTTCTCAATTTCAGACATTACACAATCAGTTTATACAATGCATACACTTGGCATACAGACAGTCCATCACTGACTGCACTAGGTCAAGTTTAGTTTTTGTTTTTTTTTAAAGATTTTATTTATTTATTTGACAGACAGAAATCACAAGCAGGCAGAGAGGCAGGCAGAGAGAAGGGGGAGGAATCAGGCTCCCTGCTGAGCAGAGAGCCCGATGCAGAGCTCGATCCCAGGACCCTGAGACCATGACCCGAACCGAAGACGGAGGCCTAACCCACTGAGCCACCCAGGCACCCCCAAGTTTAGTTTTAATAGAAAAGTTGATAAAGCTGATATCAAGGGACACCTGGGTGGCTCAGTCGGTTAAGCATCTGCCTTCAGCTCAGGTCATGATCCCAGGGTTCTGGGATCAAGTCCCATGTTAGGCTCCCTGCTCTGCGGGGAGCCTGTTTCTCCCTCTCCTGCTCCCCCTTCTTTGCTTTCTCTCCCTCTGTCAAATAAATAAAATTTTAAAAATAAATAAATAAGGGGCACCTGGGTGGCTCAGTGGGTTAAAGCCTCTGCCTTCAGCTCAGGTCATGATCTCAGGGTCCTGGGATGAAGCCCCATATTGGGCTCTCTGCTCAGCAGGGAGCCTGCTTCCCCACCCCACCCCCCCGCCTGCCTCTCTGCCTACTTGTGATCTCTGTCTGTCAAATAAATAAATAAAATCTTTAAAACATAATTAATTAATTAATTAATTAAAGCTGATATCAAGCAGGATGTGGTCAGGTGGGCCCAGCTGTTATACCAGAAGAAAAAGCAGGAAGGATGTTGGAGGACCTCTCTTTCCTTGAGTACACTGGGGTCTTTCTTTTCTTTCTTTTTAGGTTTTGATCTATTCTCTTTAAGCATCTAATCTCAAAGACTTATCATACCCTACATGGTCACATATTTTCTTACTTTCTTTTGCTTCCCCATGTTCATGCCACACTCTTGTTCTTCGGTCTTAACTTCTCCATTTTCTAAAAGGGGTTCAGGGAAAGGGACTTCCCCGAGGTACAAGGGGCAGAAACCAGGTCTCCTGATCACCAAGTATCTGCACTTTCCACCATGTTCTGCTTGCTCTCCCACCTCCTGGCCTACAATGTAAGCTGCTTGTGACAAGGTAGATGCAGGGGCCAGGGGAGAGGGGAAAAAGCTCAGCATCCTTGCCACCAGAAACCACCTTCACGGATGAAGAAAGCATGGCTACTACCCGTGCCCTGAACCAATCTAGGTTGAGGGCGGGCAGACTAGAGCTGCAAGGCCAAATACAGCGCTTTCCTGGAACATAGCCATGCCTATTTATTTTTGTATTGTCTACCGTGGCTTGTGTGCTACCGTGTCAGAATTGAATAGTTGCAACAGAAACAGTATGGCCCGCAAAGCCAAAAACAGTTACTGTCTGTCTTTTACAGAAAAAGTTGGCCAATCCCAACTGTAGGTGGTAGGAAATGATGAATGATGATGATGATGATGATGTTAATGAGAACAGTCATCTGTTACCATTAGAAGAAGGGGGAAAATGGAGGAGTGGGGAGGGGAAGAAAGAGGAAGAAGCAGAGGAAGGAGGAGGAGGAGGAAAGGAAAGAAAGAATATTCATTGAGTACTTAACTGTGTATTAGGTCCTGTACTGTGTATTAGGTCATCATTTAATCATCACCATTAACCTTTGAGAGGTATTATCATTTTCCCATCTTATAAATCAGGAAGCCAAACACAGAAAGTTTAAGTAATTTGCCCAAGGTCACCAAACAGTAAAGGGTAGAACAGAAAAATCAATCCCAGTTTCCATTCTCTAAAGCATTATGGTATTACAGAGAGATACACATCTCGGTTTTATATAACCTCCAAGAGCTCACGTAGTAGAAGATAACCCAAAATTGTGCAGAGAAAAGGCCTTCCACTCTTGAGCGGTGTAATTACCATCTCTGAGCCCCACTTATAATATGGGGCTGGTCAGGGTGCCCACTCCAATCTTTGTTGTAAGAATCTGATGAAACAGTAGGAGGTATTTTTAAAATTTAAGACACTATGCAAGTAATAATTATGATCTCAGTCAAGTTGAAGAAATAAAATTAACTCACAACAATTCTGTTTTGGTCTACCCCTTACTGTTGTGGGACATTGGTAACCTGTGAGCTCCATTTTAAAAGAGTGCTTAAGTAGGTGATCTTAGGAATGCCAAGGAAGCCGTGATATGACTGCGGTAGACAGAATAGTCAGGAAAGCTCCTGGGAGAAATGAAACACAAGCCTTTAACAACATTTGGAGAACAGAAAGCAATCCAGAAGGGCAAAGCACAGGTGAAAGTGCAGAGGCAGGCTGAGCACACAGCTGTAACGGGTCGGTGAGAAGCCTGAGCTAAAATTGAGACTGCAACCCGGGTCCTTGACAGCCAAGACTAGAAGTGTGGGTCTAGTGTCGGGAGTCGGGGAACTGATGGGAATTCAGAGGTTTGACTTGCAAGAGGAGCATTAGGGGAGTTGGCCAGACCTACATGCTGGATATCCAGTCCTAAGTTGTAAGCAAAAATGCTTTCCTGGTGACTTGTAACCTCCACTGTCTCATTTCCCGGCCACTACCTCCAGTCTCGAGTCTGAGGATCTAGAGAGAGGACCAAGTGCCTGATGTCCTGCACTACATGCCACATGACAGCCACTCACTGATAAACACCCAGTCTCCAAACACCTGGATGTTTATTACGAATGTAAAATCACCAGCCATAAACCAGCCATGCTTACTGCTTCGACCATTTCATTTGGTTTTGTGTTTATCTCATGAGGAAGAAATTCCCTAAAGGGAAGGTGGAAGGGGAAAGACAAACAGAGTAATAACGACAATGTCTTTGAACTTTCCCATGGCTTTTATCAATGGCTTTGCCTTACTCATAGGCACTCAGAGAAATGAGTGAAAAGTGCTACTCGGGGCCCCTGGGTGGCTCAGTTGGTAAAGCAGCTGCCTTCAGCTCAGGTCATGATCCTCAAGTCCCAGGAATGAGTCCTGAATGGGGCTCCCTGCTCAGCCAGAGAGTCTGCTTCTCCCTCTGACCCTCCCCACCTCATGCTCTCTCTCTCTCCCTTTCTCTCTCATTCTCCCTCTCTTAAATAAATAAAATCTTTTTTTAAAAAATGCTACTAGCCAAAATTCTTAGTGAAGTCCCACCTCTATCATGAAGAGTACAACAGAGAGACGGTGCCTGTCTCACTTACTTCTGGGTTTTATTTCTAGCACAATGATTCTGTTGCTGTTGCTGTTGTTGTTGATTTGGGTTAAAATAAAATGTACCAAATAGACCTTCTGTAAATAGGCACCGAAATGATGCAGAGAAATTTGTTCCAGACTTGGTAGGTCTACATGTCCAAGCCAGAAGAGCCATGTCTCAGACATAACCATAAGGGACACAAATTTTCAGGCTGTTGTGATAATCAGAGTAATTTATAGAAAGATATGTTCCTACCCCGGACACACAAGCTGCCCTTTGATTTATTTGCTTTTTCTCTCTGCAAAACAGGCTCTCAGGCCATCACTACCAGGTGCATGGTGACTAACAGAAGGAATAATGAGACCCTCCTGCAGGGGAGCAGACAGCAGATAGCCCCCCCGCCCCCGGTGTCGTGTTCTTGCTCAGGGTCCCTCTAGCTAACAAAGAAATGGCTACCCTGAATAATCAAGTCCCAGGAGCCCAAGAACAGGCCCAGACACCTGAGCCATACACCTCAGGTCCCCTGGGCAGAAGCCAGCTTTCCTCCCCACAAGGACACACAGCAAGACTACGTACATGTCTGACGTGCGCTTGAAGATTCTTCACACCAAAGGACCGAATCACGAACCAGAGTTTGATAGAGCGAAACCGGCGGCTCAGGGGGATCTGCCAGTGCTAGAACAAAGGCACAAGGGCTGATGAATACAGGCAAGAGCCCTGCTCCCTCACACACTCCTTCCTCTGCCTGTCCTGCCCTCCAGGGATAGACGGTGTCACCATGACTCTGGAAGTTGTTGCTAAGAAGAAGCCAAGACTAGTTACCCAAAGGATGTCTTGTCAAGGGACCAAATCCTGGGGAAGGTGGCCAATAGCTACCCTTGTCCAAGCGCATGGCAAGTGGAAACCAAGTCCATGACTCTGAACCAAGGAGAAGCCATTTTGCTTCAAATGCTACTTTCAACATTTCATCTCAGGCCAAAATTCAAGATGGGGCAATGTATTTTTCTTCTTGAAAAGAACCTAAGTTGCTCAAATTGCAGGGAATGTAGTTCTATTTCTATCACCCCCCCCACCACCACCAAAATGTAAAGAACAGTGCTCAAGGGCTGGGACGCTATAGCCCCGCAGACATGGGTTTCTTCTCGAGCTCTGCCAATTCCTGGGTGATGCCCACCCCACCACCCAGTAGGATGGTGATGCCACCCCACTGGCTCTTCGTGAGGCCAAGAACGAGCAGCACCTCCGATGGAAGTGGCAATGAAGGAAATCAATTGAGAAGAGCTTCGCCAGAAGTCATCAGCAAGCGGTGGCTATTTAGGTGATAAAAATGCAAGCTACAGATAGATCACAGCAGTCCTTCTACCTAGAGCCCCGATGATCATTATTTAATCTCACTGTCTGGTCACGACTTCTTCCTGGGACACTCCTGTGACATTCCTGTGCCCTCAGGAGCCATGACTCCAGCTTTCAGGTTTCAAATGAGCATCCACATCTGGGCCCCTGTGAAACTAAAATTGACCCTTTGTTCCTGGTAACCAAATCAACAGAGCTTAAAGTTCAAGGCATGGGCACCCTAGATTGAAACATTTTCAAAACAATTTCAAATCGGTTTCACACATCTGGAAACAGACCAAAGGGTTTGGAAAACACTGACGGTTGCCCTGATGAGTAATGTGTTTTCTAGTGACCTCTTCTTCAAATGCCAGAAAGCTTCACCAAAATTTCTGTTGACTGGAAATAAATATTTGTCCCACTGGTATTTATGTACTCATCCACAGGATTGCCAAAACCTCTAAAATGTGATCACCTTCACCCTTCACACTCACTTCCTGACCTGGGCAGGGGCACTCTCCGTTTGGGGACACTGCTCCATTGTGGATGGACAATGTTTCTCCTATGTCAAGTACTAAGCCTCTGTTTTCCAGCTTGGGGACTTGTTTACCAGCAGAGGGCATCAAAACCTGAGCACAGGACAAAATCCCTGGGACAGGGAAAGCATCCATCCCTTCTTAGAGGAACACTCTAGGAGAATAACAAAACCTGGCTTCCCAAACGGTTATGGCTAATTGGCTACTTTATCTCACCAGCAAATTAAAACGAGAGGCAAAGACTACTTTATTTTTTATTTCTTCACACTCTATTCGTATCCCCGGTTGTTCCTCTTGTCACTATTCCAAAACCAATCCATGCTGACCCAGCTAGATGATATTCCCAGTTAGAGCAGGAAATTTGGACATAGAAAAGGTGATGTGGTGCTTCTTTAACTCAAGACATCCCCAAGCCTCCTCTGTGTCCTTCCGAGGTTTTGCAGGTTTCCCCAGCCACAGGCAAGACAATGCCCCATCCACTAGTGGGAGCTTGATGTTAGAAAATGTAGCCCTGATTTTAGGTGGTGCCCGGGCTCAGGGATGAAGTTCCTAAACCTTCTCTCCCAGGATGCTGCTTATTTCTGGCTCATCTCAAACATGGCTGCGATTCTATTTAAAGCTACAGACACCTGGGGACAAAGAGCCTGGGTCAGAGCAGCAGTGAAGACTTTCAGGATCACAACAGATGAAAGCTTCCATTTTCTAGAAGTTTCTTTGAGACTTGGAAATGGAATTCAGAGATTTAGAGGTGGGGGAAGGAAACGCATAAAGCCATACCTTCTGGAGGGGGAATATAAATAATAATGTTCCCCAGACCACTGTTAAGAAAAGTAGAATTCAATATTTTTTTTATAAAATGTTATCGAGAAGAGAAAGAACACCATAAAATCTCCAAACTGATGGGAACAAACCACAGAAGACCTTGGGACACTGGTGGGAACAAACAAGCAAACAAAAGGTAACAGGAGATCTAAAATGGGGGAAGGTAAGATAATGCTCTTAAGTGATGATGATCCAAATACACTTATAGGAGAATGAGTATCATTTCCCATTTCACACTCAAGAAAGAAACTTAGAATTATCCCTGAAGAGATCTGCCCCTTAGGATGCTGTGGAGATGTTTTTTAATTAAAAAATTGCTGAAAACCTACCAGACAGAGCAATGAAGATGAAAGAACCATTATTTGTCTACTTTTATCAGCCTCTCAGGGGTCTGTAAGCTTACAGACCCACTCCAATCAAAAAAAGAAAATATGGCGGTGGCGCCTGGGTGGCTCAGTGGGTTAAAGCCTCTGCTTTCGGCTCAGGTCATGATCCCAGGGTCCTGGGATCGAGCCCCACATCGGGCTCTCTGCTCGGCGGGGAGCCTGCTTCCTCCTCTCTCTGACTGCTTCTCTGCCTACTTGTAATCTCTGTCTGTCAAATAAATAAATACAATCTTTAAAAAAAAAAAATTAAAAAAAAAAAAAAAAAGAAAATATGGCAATGTACATTATAGATGACATTGACAATTTCCTGGGGGGGGCGTGGCAGGGAGGAATCTTGAGTCTGTTACTAGCTGACACCTGATTCCAAAGGACATTTAAAAAGCAACAGCATCAATTACAAAGTGTATGGTAGCAAGCATTTTCCTCACTAAAAAATTCTCCTCCTTGAAAAAATAAGTTTGTATTTGCTGATCAAAATGGACTTGAGAGATCTGCCATGAAAAGCCCAAGCTTTTCCTTTGGGGGCCCCTTCCCCTCATGAACCTCACCTCTAAAGGTAACCAGAGTCAACCACTTGTGAATAAAGGAAATCTTGATCCCTTTTAAAAAATAAAGAAGAAGAAGCAGACTCAGAAATGTAAAGGAAGCCTGAGCTGGTCTGAGGGAGAATAAGCAATGCAATCAAGAGATGACAGAGCTATTATTTTAGGACTAAAAGGCCAAGACAGTTCAGTTGTCCAAGGAGACAAGACAGAACCTTCTCTTTACAGACTGAATCATGGACCTCAGGCACTGTTCTCTCTGCCTCGCTGCTTTAATTCATTTAACCTCATGACAAGCCTTGGAACCCAATATTAGTATCATCATCCTCATTTTACAGATGAGGGACCAAGACAGAGAGGCGAAGTCATTTGACCAAGGTCACACAGGTTAGTAAATGGAGGAACAACAGTCCAGCTGGCTTAAGGACCTCAACGCCTAACCATTCTCCAGCGAATCTCTGTAGCTTCAAAGAAGAATTTTTAGCAATATTACCCCTACCATTAATTGAGTAATTGCCACATTCCTAGGACTGTGTTAAGTGATCTACGTGTATGTTCCCATTTCACCCTCACAGCCTCCCTGTGCCCATCTTACAGATGAGGAAGCCACAGCTCAGAGAGGGCAGCTGAGTTTCCCAATGGCCCACAGCTGGGGTAGCATTTCAAACCAAGCTCATCTATTCTGCTCTGCTGCCTCCCCTTGGCCACAGATATAACTTGTTCACATCTCTGTCTCCTCTACAACTAAAGGAAAGGTTCCTCTTCAAACTGAGGGGTAAATCTCAAGAATTCATTTCCCCAGGAGTTAGTACATGCTGAGAATGTGGGCAGATTCAAGAGACGGATGTGCAGCTAGCTGAGAAGGCCACGACTAGTTGGAGAGGCTCAGGAAAGGTGCCTGTGCCCCACCCCCTCCCGTGGAGCCTCCCACCTTGACGTAATGCCCTGGGGACAAAAGATGAAGGAGATTCAAGCAAGGAGCCTCTTTCCCTACCCAAGGAGATTCTCCGCCCTACCCTGCTGCTGGGCACTAAGCAGAGCAGATTATCCAAGCTGGAGACAGAAAGGAATGGACCCACTCTTCGTAGAAGAGGCATCTCTGGGGAGTAAGGAATGCCACGCATATTCAGGAAATGGCCATACTGCCTCAGAGGTTGGTCTCATTTTCTAGGCTTTTTAACAGTCTTCTGGGTTTCATTCTATATGCTTAGAAACCGAAGGCATACAGCAACATATTAGGGGATGGGCTCACAATATGCCAGTTTCGGACAGAAGCCAACATCAAGGAGACCTTCTGGGGTCAGGTGCAGTCCATCCCAGAGGCTGCTTCTGGCCACTCACCATGAAGTCAGTGGCCATGCCTGAGTTGGCATGCCTGAGGTAGATGGGGTTCACACTGAAGGTCTGCTGCAGCTTGTACTTGTCCTTGACCCTGTGGGTTACCAAGCAGGCATTAGTGGCTGAGGCCTCTCCAGAGGGAGCAAAGCTTTCCCAAGTGCTGGAAGCTTGGCTGCCACACTCACCAGAAGCCAGTACAGTCAAAATGCACCATCATCCACTTAGAAGGATTAAAGGTGAAGGAATCGGCATACTCGATGCCCTTCAGAAACCCCCGGAACTCAGGGCACAGGAAGGCAGTGCCTGCGTAGGCAGCATCGATGTGGAGCCACAGTCCCTCACTGGCACCTGAGGAGGCAAAGGTCACCTGGCTGGGAGGCAGGACTGGGGGTGGGGGCTTGCCACCAGCCAGCTCAAAGTCATCTCTCGCCTGGTACAGAGGCTGGTGGGCTTCAAGAGAAAAGAAAGGCTGGCCCGCTCTGGCTGGAGGAGCTGGCAAGGCACAGGGAGATGAGGGTGGGGACAGGGGCAGGGGCCTCCTAAGGGAAAATCCATGGAGCCACAACTGGCCTTTTGCTCTCACTGGCCAGAGCATCAGCACTCCTGGGCATCAACCTAGAAGTTCCTGGCACAGAAAGCAACTCCCTCCTGGCCCGGAGGGCAGGGGTAAGTCATCTGACACAAACGTTCCAGCGGGGATATCTCTCTCTCTTAGAGGGTTTCTTGCTTGGGGATTTTACGAAATCCCAAATGGGATTTCTTCTCCACCTATATCTTCCCTCATGGTTTCCCCCACCCTACCATTTTCCTTTCCTTAGCCTAGAATAGCAAATGTTCCATGGTGCCGCCTTCACCCTGTGTTTCACATATGGCCTACTCTAGGTTTGGACATACACGTGAGAGGGCAAGAGAACCTGAGACTCTCCCACTGTTGCTTCCTTGAAAGGATGCAAGGCAAGGGCTGGGGGGATTTCTAACACCTGGTCCACTGCTGGAAAAAGCAGTGCTCTGGCTTCTGTGGCTCTTCTTCAGCTCTCTGCACCGACCCAAGAAGGGGAAGATAATGCCACAGAGCTAGTTTCAGGTTCTTGCTCTAAGGGAACATTCTAAAGTTCATGACTCATACTTGTCTTCCTAGCCAGACAGGGCAGACACTTACAGATGGGGCCCAGCTCTGACAGGCAGTCAAATGCACAGACCCCAGTGGTCCCCAGTGTTGCACACACCTGAAGAAAAATCAAGGAAGTTAATGGTTAATGTGGGAAGGTGGGCTCATGTGACACAGTTGGCCTGGAAAAAAAAAGACTGAACCACAGTATTATCTATCCTACCCATCCCACTGGAACAGCATGTATTTCACATTACACTTCACCATGACCCACAGTAAGAAATACAATTTATATAACAATCTAGTACAAACATGCATTTGAAGGAAAGTTTCACCAAACCATACTACTCTGGTTACAGGAATGCACTCTGATAGTTTCTATTCTTATTTGTTTCACAAAATTTATTTCTTAACACACCAACGAGTAGCAATTCATAATTTGTAAAATGTTGTACTTTTTTTTTCTTTTTTGCTTTTCTTTTTTTTTTTTTTTTTCAGCATGTTACTTGCTTAAATTCTGCCCAAATTCCTTCCTCGCCCCCAGGTCCTATCATTCTAAGCTAAGAACTCATTCTAACTTACAAAAACAGGCACCAAGCCCCGTTCTTTGTCCTCCTTGATGGCTTTCTGAAGAGCTTCCCCTCGGAGTGAGAAGTTGTCATCCACAGGCAGAAACTTCATCTTCACCAGGGAAATCAAACCAGCTTTCTCCACTGAGGAGTGAGCCTAGAAGGACCATGGAAACCTGTTAGCCGAGTCCCCCCGGGGTTGCACACCCCCCAGGAACTACTGAAGCCAGACTAGGCGAATCAAAAATAACATTTGCTGTGTGTCCTAGAGAGGACCTCTGAGGCCTGTGCCGCCCTGAGCTCCAGCCTACTCGTGTCTAGAAAAAAATTACTCAAGAACTACAACTCCACAAGCCAAGCACCGACCTCAGGATTCGGCCTGTATTGGGCAACTCACCTGGTCAGAGGCATAGGCAATGAGCCGGGCGTTCAGGGAGGACTCATCTGTCCCAGGTTCAGATGCTTTCATTTCCAGGATTTTGTCCTTCCTTGCTGCCAGCAAGGCGATCAAGGTGGACTCACTCACTGTGCTCTGTAGTGGAAGAAGGATTATCAGGGGCAGCCTCTTCCTCTGGGGCCTGGGCATATTCCCCTGGCTTCTGCCTAAAGGGCTGTCCTTTCTCCAGACTCACAGACCTGTCCCACATTCTCCATTCACAGCACCCTGTGCCTCTCCTCCAACTGACCAGGGAAGTAATGAAAGCAAATTTGCACCTAATACCAACACCTTTATTAGAGAGGCCACAGAGACCAAAAAGAGAATGTTCAGCCTCTGCTAGATATAAATTTGCCTATAGATATGTTTGCTCCCCATGTAAACTTGCTAAAAATAAAGAGTTTTTAATTTATTCATTTTAGGCATGGAAATAGAGCTTGTTTCTAAAGGGACATTCCTGAGAGAGTGGGTCCTATTTTAACTTGAGAGTCCGGTCACTCTGGCCTTGGCTCTGTTGCAGATGGTTCCTGTGATCTCGGGCTAACATTGCCCCTCTGGGAGACTCTTTTCCATTTATAAAATGAAAAGCATCCCTTCCGCTTGCCTCCCAGAGTGGGAGTACTGATTATCCAAATGAAGGCTGGATAGGATTTTGTTCTGGCCATGTCTGTGGGTACCCTGTGGGCCCCTCAGCAATCTCACAGAATTCTTACAGGTTTCTCAACATTCATTCACTCGGTCTTTGGTGTCTTTTCTTTTTGAACTCTTCCTACAGTTATAGCTCCCTGCTAAAAAGACCTAGCAGAGGGTGTTAACAGCAGAAGAGTAGTAAGAATAACAATGCTACCTTCCAACTACATAGCTATCCAGGGTCTACAAAACGTTCTGTCATCCCACTGGCTCCTCAATAAACTGCTCTGAGGTGCTTGTGATTCCCATCTACAGAGGAGGACAGCAATGCTCAGAGATGTTACAGGACTGAACCAAGTTCTCAGGGCCGATGATACAGGAGGAAGCATCCCTTGGATGTAGATGAGCATGTGTTTAAATCCTTTCTTTCACTTACCAGCCCGCCAGCTGGGGCAGGCTTTCAACCTCCCTGAGCTCCAGTGCTCTTATCTCAAAGATTGGTGATGATACTACCTACAGAGTCCTTGAGATAATTAAATGAAAAGCAAAGTCACGTACAGCAGACATTTAGCATGTCCCCCAGATACACTGTCTGAAGTTGTAACTATCTCCACACAACCCAGAAGGTCCACAGCATGCAGCAATTTTCCTTCAGTCTCGTTGCAAGACTGCAGAGAAAGAGCAAGTCACTGAGCTAGCAATGAGTCCAGCAAACTGTCCAGGTCTCAACCCGGAGCAGCATGGCTATTTTTATTTTAAAGAAGGTCTCACTTAGGGACATCTGGGTGGCTCAGTCAGTTAAGCATCTGCCTTCAGCTCAGGTCATGATCCCACAGTCCCAGAGCCTGCTTCTCCCTCTCTCACTCCCCCGGCTTGTGCTCTCTCTCTCTGTGTGTGTCAAATAAATAAATAAAATCTTTAAAAGAAGGAGGAGGAAGAGGGGGAGAAGGAGGAAGGGGAGGAGGGGGAGAAGAAGAGGAGAAAGAGGAGGAAGAAAAAGGGCTCATTGAACGTTCATGAGGAAAATATTGTTGCTATATTATTTGTTATTATTATCTCTATCTTATAGTTTATAAAACCAGGAAAATTGTGTATTAGAGTAGAAGTCAAGAATTGATGGGTCCTCAAAGGTCTCACAACCAATCCCTCATAAATGTAGAGGGTTTCTAGATGCAGAAGTACCCAGCAGTATGCATAGTCTATGCGAGACACCCAGCAAGCTATACCATATGGATAGCTCTTAACAAGACGAGAAATCTTTGAGGAACTATCATTTGACAGATACCCAAATGATAGGGCTGTAGGATAAGATAAATCAATTTATGGAGCTCATTTTTCTCACTGCCCAGGGTCTCCTGGACCCAGGAGGGAGGGCAGGAAGTCTCTACTTGCCTTCTCTTTTCCTTTCCCCAAAAGGTGGTCAATGAGACAAGGAAGGGGAGGGGTCGGGTGAGAAACGAAGACACCTGAATCCAGCAATACTGGAAATGTGATCATGGGTGGACTTCTGAATCTTTTTAGAAGAAAAAAGGGAAAAAGGAAGAGTGGAGGTGGCAGCCTCCGTGAGAGTGGTGACCGCGGCAGAGGCGGTGACTCTGATAGCGGACTAGGCAATTGTGACGGCCATCAGGATAATGACAACGGTTAAGGGCAAAGGGATGATGGCAGTGATAGTGGTGGAGGGGGTGACGCGGGGGGACCTCTGTGGAAAGTAGGAGAAGGCCCTCTGTGGGGTTCAGCTTATCTTTCACTCTTCTGGCCCCCAAGCTGGGAGGAGCTCTGCCGAGGTAGGCACCTGCAGGACGCCTCCTCCCTGGCTGCCGGGATGGTGGTGCAGAAAGTGCTCCGGGAGTCCCAGCATTTTCGCCAGCCAGTCCATGACGTTCATCTCCAGCTCCGTGCACGCAGGGCTGGAGGCCTTCGAGAGAGAAAGCAGCTTCACCCAGGAAGTCCCCGGACACCAAGATTGCACCCCTCCCCCTGCCCCATCAGCCCCAGAAACACATGTCTCTGCCCTGGCCCTCCCCAGTCCCCATGCTATCAGTGGGAACCTGACCTATCTTCCCCCTGGACAAGGGCTCAGTGTCAGGCCCTATGCCCCATTCTCACCCCATCCTCTGCCAAACTGTAGCGGGAAAAGACATAGGGCTTTGGATCGCTGCCCCACCTCAACCAGCAGGAGTCTTTCCTAACTCCCACAGTTCTATGGAGAAACAGCCCTAGAAATGATGGCTTGCATTTGGCTTCCCTAGTCCCTAAAATACCCAGCTGAGCATCCTGAAGGCCAAGAGCAAGCTTTAGGACTAAGAAAGAAAGCAGTCCTTCCTGGAAAAGATAGCAGCTTGCCTCAGCCTCCGCTCCCAGCCATTCCTTCCCCTGACACACCCTATAATAGGTCAGGTTTAAAATATCTATCTGTTCTTGGAGGCTTCTGGCGCAATTTAAAGCCGCTCAGCCCTTAGGGAATTATTAAGGGGAGCCTGAGGATAGATCCCTAAACCCTCACAGACAAGAGCACAGAGGAAGTTGTACCCACAGGCGCCAAAGTGCCTACTGAGGATCACAGACTGTGGCAATAACCAGATCTCAGTCCAAATGTCATCTCTGTCTCTATGCACTGTGTGATCCTGGGGAGGTGAAGTTATCCAAGCCTCAATTTCTTTACCTACAAAAAAATGGACCGCTACTCATGATTCCCTAGGGTTAGAGGATAAGATGAGGTAGTTTCTACAAAGTTCAAGCTCAAAGGATATAGCCATTGTTCATATTTAACTTAGAACCCCCATTCAGAGATCAGGACAGGATATGCCTGCCCCAGCATGTCACTTTCTGCTACACGTCCAGCGGCCACCAGTTAACAGCTACGGCCATGGTTACTCACCCAGGTGAATCCCAAGCAGTTGATGGCATCGGCCAGCATGTCCCCCAGCAGCGATGGCCAAGAGGTGAGGGCTGGGTAGTAGGCGTGCATGTGGGGACTTTGCCAGTGTACCACCTGGAGGGACAGCATGTCCATGTGTGGCACCGGGAGGCTTCCCTCTACCAGAGACCCTCCCTGGCCACTCTAGAGATGGGCTGACATTTGTAAGACAGTCAAGTAAATGACACAACTCCATAAAAATAAAACATATTCATGGTGTTCTTGTCACCCACCCCCATTTCTCATCCTCTATGCTGTTTCATCAGTGGAGCCCGTGTACGTATGCCAAGACCAGAAGGGAATATGCAAAATGAGAATCAGTATAGTAATTAGGGTTGTGGATTTTGGAGAGTGCTCACGTTAGTCTCCACTGCTTATCCCCCATGCCATCCCTGCCCAGCAATAAAAGGAAGAGGAGACTATGAGCTCCAGAAGAAGAGGTTGCTTGTCCCATCCAGTTTCTTGCAAAAAGCGTCCTTTGTTTTTTGGGTCTCTAAGCTCTCTGGGCACACAGCTCCTGCAGAGAGTCAGTGTGAATGGATTCAAAGCTGTCCTTCATTTCCCAGTGAGGTTGGGGAAAGGAGAGAAAAGGGCAGGGAACTGCCGGCTCACAGGCCTGGGACCCCTACCTCCAAGTTAAGCCCTAGGCCCACAGTCAGACTGAGGAACCAGATGAAAGAAGAAGCCAGGTGGACAGAGAGGGTCCCACCATAACAGGCTCATTGGCCTCATTAATTATCTAATCTGGCTTCATCTCCCTGTTGATGAAGATGCCCTGTTCATTTCTGCATTCATGCTTTTGAGTAATGCTATGTCTCCTGACAAGCAGGCACGTCCCATACTCATAGGACCTTCCAAAACCTGCTAATTCCTAGAAAGCTACAAAATACTCATTTCCTCCACAAACCCTTTCCCAGTTCCCCAGCCCCTCTGAACCTTTCTCTGAACCCATGGAACCCTGTCATTCTAGATGTCCAATCCTACTGAGAACTCATTAGTCAACATCTTAGTGTATCAATATTTAGTGTGCAGAAATTCTTGTAATCCCTCATTGGCAAGGACAGTATCCTAGAAAGTGTGTGTGGTAGAAGGAGCATAATATTCAAGTCCAAGGACACAGGTTCCAGCCCTACCTTTGTCCCTAACCAGCTGTGAGACTTTGTAGGTTTATCGTGAAGCTAAGGAACTTAAGCTCCAAGGTCCCATGTTTGTATGGGTCTTTCTGAGAAAGATACTTAATTTCATTTTCTTACAAGGGATCTCAAAATGTATATATGATGCAGATCCCATTAAAAACAGGATACTCCTCTGCACTTTTCTTAACCTTAGTCTCCCATCATAAAATAAATCCAGGAAAATAAATGTTTCCTGGGGTTGTCATGTGGACTGGTCTGGGAGGAAATTTGCAAAATGTAAAGCACTAATGTTAATGGTGAGTTAATCACATGGTGATAGACACATCGTATAATCTGACTTGACTCTTAGATAATCAGACCTCTTCCTCCGATTTTCGCTAGGCGAAATGTGTGGAAGGTAATGACGGTATCTTCTGTTTTCCCATACTTCATCTTATTTAATTCTCACAGTACCCATGAGATAAGTTCTCCCATTACCCACATTTCACAGATGAGAATCAGGGCCAGCCAGTGCGAAGCAGCATCCCCATGATCACACACACCTCACAGGGACAGATGACAGTGCCAAGACAGAAACCCAGGGCTATCTGCCCCCAGGACCCAAGCAAGAAGATGCCCTGCCTTCTCTCCCTGTGCTGCTCTCTCTCCCCCATGAATCACAGAGGAGGTTTTTCTAACCAGAGTCAGAATTAAAGCAGAAGGGAAGTTCTTCTCTTTGTGTCTAGGTGATGGCAGGGAGGGAAAAATCAGTCCAGTCTTCAATGAGGTGCTGGTCAACATGAGAAAGCAAAGGGCCAACCGATTTCAGGCCGTCTCTCAGAGGCGTTGGAAGACTGGGCCCTTTTTATCGGTGTCCTTAGTGACAGTATTTTGGAAACCCCAAAGAAGGGCTTCCATCCCCTAACCCTATCAAGACACAATTATCTGTTCTTGCAAGATAAATATGATAAGATAAGCCAGAGGAACCCTTATCAAGAACAGACAGAACTCTCCTTCCAGAAATGAGCCTCTCTGACCACACCCCCAGCAACTGCGGGAATTGCAATCAATGAATCAGCTCATTTCCGCCTCCTCTGACAGTTGCTCTCAGCCTCACTACCAAATTACAGTTGGTCCCTCAACAGATTACATTTTACAGAATGAAATCCATGAGATAATCTTATCGGGGCACTAGCCTCCTGGGTAAAGCTTTACGATATGGAAATTTTCAAAAGATGCTTGTGAAATAGGCTGAGTGGTCAGAGAGAGGTGAGTAATTGGCTTTATTCAAACTTGCCAACCAATACGGCTGCACAAACTTATTCTGAGTTTGGATAACTTGTCATCCCTGCCTCCAGGCATATTTCTGTCCCATCAGAAGCTTTTAGGGGATGATGGAAGCAAATCCCAAGTCAGTCCTTGAAGGTCTCTGAACACACGCGGTCCAGGACACCAATGCCCCAAGCAGACAGAGTGAAGGGAACAGCCTGTATGTTGGGATCCCACTGAAGGGCGGCGCCTGGGTGCACAGGGTCAGGCTGGAGCATTCAGTCGGGGCAGATGATCAGTGTAGGAGAAGGAGCCTATGGAATGAGACTGGCTCAGGGCTAAAATCTTGGATCCACCAGCCTACAAATTCTGTAACTTTGAGAAAACAATTAACATCCCCGAGCCTCAGGTTCCTCATTTGTGAAACAGAGAGTATAGGATCACTATAGGATAGAACAAGCCAGCCTGCAACGTGGCTCGTCCAGGGCCCGGCATGTGACATGGCGCTCAGTAAAAGGCAGCCCTTCTGAGGGAGGAGGACTGGTGTTCTCACTTTTAGCATGAACGCCTTGGCACAGTTCGTTGCCCCTGGTGGCCAGGGACAGAGTCCCAGCCCACAGAGGCCACAGCTCAAGCAACAGCTGGTCTCTGTCTGCTCCCTGGCCCCGCCGGTGCTGTTACCAGGCTGGACTCCTTGTCACGGGAAGCACAGATGATTCAGGGAAAGCTCCTTTCTACTCTTCAAAAGCAGCTCAAGCGTGAGACCTCCCCTTAGTGGGGAAGGACACCGTTCCTACCTCCCGGAGGAGAGAGGAGGGGGTGACAGGTCTCACTCAGCTCCCTGGGCCTCTCTAGGTGACAATCAGGGTACTCCCAGGGAGGGTGTTGTCTCGGCCGCCTTTCCTCCCTTCAGCCAGTCTCCGCATTCTGTGGGACTGCAGGGACTGTCTCCAGCCTCCTCTCTCTGCCTTGCTTTCCACATTGGCCTTTCCCCTCAGGACCAATTTTCATTCTTACCTCATCCCATTCAATTTCCATGCATCCGTCAGATGAGACTCTGAGGTGGAGTGCTAATGCCCTCCGGCCTCCCATCCAGCCCCACAGGGCAGCCCGGGCATCAGAAACCTAAGTTCAAAGTCCTGGCCCTCTACATGCCCACACGACAGGCTGGTACATTGGTGCCCCAGTGGCAATCTAACCCACGACAGGCCTCTCTTCAGGCCTACTGCCTGCCCTCCACTGCCCCAAAACCCAGAATCGCCCTTGTGGTGACTGTAACTCACCCCAGGCATGATGATTCGCTCGATGTCCCCAAAGATGCTGTCCCAGCTGTCAGGCTCTTCGGGTGCACTCTCAGGCAGCTGGGCTCGCAAGTAACCAGGCCGGACATCCGGAGTCACACGCCGCTCCCGCACGGTGCTCAGGTACTGACAGATGTAATCCACCATCTCTTTTCCTACAAGAGAGGAGGAGACAGCCGCCTCATGTCCCCCCACTGGGCCTAGCCAATCCTAGCCCCTTGGGTCAGGAACAAGAGACCTGGTGAAGAAGGAGGTGGATTCGTGGACTGATGGGGAGAAGACCTGATCCCTAGCACCAGCCGTGTCTTCAGAATTTAAAAATAAGTGAGGGTGGCGGTGCTCAGTCAGTAGAGTATGCAACTTTTGATCTCAAGGTTGTGGATTCTAGTCCAGCGTTCGCTGGGGGTAGAGATTACTTAAAATAAAAAATGGGTGGGGGGTTGCCAGTTAGGCTATGAGCTCTTGGTTTCAGCTCAGGTTATGATCTGAGGGTCATGGGATTGAGCCCTGCATCAGATTCCAATTAGTCGGCTTGGAACTCTCTCCCTCTCCCCATCTCCCACTCCACGCAACCCACCTCCCCAACTCCCTCTCGCTCCCTCTCTCTCAAATAAATAAATAAATCTTTTTTAAAAAATGAATGAAAAAAATAAGTGAGCGCATGAATGACTTGGGGGGGAAGTGTGTGAGTGAACAAATGAACAAGAGAGAAAATCATGAACTATAAAACTCAAGCACTAAAGTAAAATACTTATTTTTCCTCCCCTTTCTCTAATCCATATCAACTTTGACTCTCTCTCCTACCTTTCTTTTCTTCTCCAAAACAGAACATCTCATTAATTCTCTACCTTACAGGTTTAGTAGAAACTCTGTAGCTCTTTCTGTCCAAAAACTGTTACACACACACACAGAGATACACACACACACACACACACAGACACACACAGACACACACACACACACACACACACACACACACACTATATTCTTCGTTAGCACAGAAGCTAAGCTCCCCTGCCAGGTTCTGACACAAGCTGAAAAATCTACTTGCTCACTATTCCCGTTGGACCAGTAATTTCTCACTTTTGGACCCCATGGACTTCTTTGAAAATCTGATGAAAACTATGGGCTTGGACACACACACACACACACACACACACACACACACAGTGTATAATTTCTGAGGTTCATGAAATCCCTAAAGCACAACCATAGACCCAGACCAGGAACCCTGTACTAGCCTGAAGTTCTGGGGAAATGCAATGTCTTTTTGTTTATTTGTGTCAAGTGTTAAATTCCTGCTAGTTGGCATATAGTGTATTATTCGTTTTGGGAATATGCAAGACCAGGTCTTAATAACTCAGTTTCCCTCCCTCTGTTTGCACCAATACCTCAATGCTTAGGACATTTCTTAGATGCTTAAAAAAAAAAAAAAAAGCAAATGAATGAACAAATACATAAGGAAGAAAAATAGCCAACCCAAATACTCTGAACCGCCTCTAAATTATTTACTTTTTTCTCCCCTTTCATTTCTCCAGGACGGGGCTTCAGTCTTCAGACAGAGTGTCTGTGTCTCTCCCTCCCTCCAAGTCTCTCTGTCTCTCTCTCTCTCTCTGCTTCTCTCCCTTTCTGCATATGTATGTTCATCTCTCTCTCTCCCTGTCTCTCTCAATATCTGTAATTGCTTCTTGGTATTCCTTAGGCTTTTCTTCCCCTGCAAAAAAATAAAATAAGATAAAACAGAGAGAAGAAGGAACCTGATTTCTTGCCTCTGCACCAGCTCACACAAGATTCTCATGAGTGGGACCAAACTCAGAAATAAACTGGGAAAGGGACAAAGGGAGATTTGAACACCCTTCCCTCTCCTCCAATCCTCCCACAGCCACTGCCTCTCACGACTGCAGTAGCACCCCAGCAGGGCTCTAGAACACTGGACCTGCCCATCACTGGTCCAGGAGCAACAAGAAATGTAATTGTGCTCAACACAGAGGCTGGATGGGAACCTGCTTGTGGCTCTTGGGAAGCCCGGGGAATAAGCAAGTGCAGGCTTGAGTGCAAAGACTGCTAGCTACTTAGTGAGTAAGGTGCGGATGGAGGAGAGAGGAAAAGCTGGACCTAACATGGGACAATATCTTAAGACAAAGAAATTTCAGGCAACATAACTTATCCCTGAGGGGGAGGATATAAAAAGTCCCAGAGAGAAAAATTAGAAGTCGCTACCTCCTGCCCACTTAAGGAATGATGCCGGGAAAACAGGCTAACCATTTGGATTCTCCCATTCCTCAAGGCTTGCGATATAGTAGCTACTCACTAAATATTTATGAAATGAAGGACTAAGTGAAAGAAGAGCACTGACAGATTCACACATAGAGACATGAATATACAGAAAAGATTTTTGCAGTGACTACAGAACACTTGGAGAAATTGTTTTCTGCTTCAGAATGTGAATAATCCCTTTTCCCTATTAAGTGGATCAGGAATCCAAATCCTCTCTTTGTGAGAAAGGGGACAGGACAACTGAAACATGGGAGAGTGGGAGAAGGACAGGGAGAGGGAGAATGAAAGAGAGGTTGAGAAAGTTTTCAATTCTGGGGTCCCGCAGTCCTTCCTCAGGAAAAATTTTGTGGAAACCAACTCTCAGAGGGCAATTTTACTGCTCCAGTCAAACGACAGCCCCCCACCCCCAAAGCTAAGGGCAGACCACCAGCCCTGTTCCTAGAGAGTAACAGGGGTGCCCCCCCTCACCTCTCTCTCTGTACTCCTCGGGCTCCATCTTCTCCCTGGGGCTACGGCTGCGTTGCCTTCTCACAGACAGACTCGGAGGAGGTGGAGGACGTACTACTGGGCAGCCACTGTGGGACCTTTATTTAAAAGGTTCCCCTTCCTTCCACTTTAGCCCCACCCTTCAAAGGCCCTTCCTCTAGGCTTCATGAACCCCACCCCTTTTTTCCCCAATTCTGATCAAGAGATCCAGGATAAAAGGCCCTTCTAAATTAAACAGTGCACTTAGCAACCCAAACCTCCAGGCAGCCTTTCCACCCCCGACCTCAGACCGCAGAACCCACCCCTCACCCCCCTCCACGCCCCCCCACCCCGTACCCCGCCTTGGACAGAGCTCAGGCTCGGTAGCCAAGAACAAAGCCAAGGATATGCAGAGTAAGTGGCCCGAATGATGGGTATTATGCCTGCTATTCCTTCTCTCTCAGCAGCGGGGAGGGAGGGAGGGACAGGCACTTAGAGAGCCGCTGCCCTGCTGGCCACACCGTGCTCAGGGACACGCAGATGCTATCAGGTAACACAGTGAATTTTCTAAATTACCACATAACAACTTACTGTTGTAGAGAGATGAGAAAACACAGATAAGCAAAAAGAATAAAAATGGAAACATCATCCAGACTTCATTGTTTTTAGCATTTGAAAGGATGAGTGTGTGTGTGTGTGTGTGTGTGTGTGTGTGAGAGAGAGAGAGAGAGAGAGAGAGAGAGAGACAAAGAGACAGAGAGAGAAAGGGCATGCAGACACTACTGTGAGGAGGACAACATGACTCTTGGAGCCTCCTTCTGAGGAGAAAGGGGCATCAAATGCATGCTCTGGTTTCTCTTCAGATGGCATAAATCTCTTGCCTTTTGCAAAAGATTTCTGTGGAGAAGGAAAAAGTAAAAAGTGATCAAATGAAGGGGACCTGGGGGGTCAGTCGGTGAAGTTCTGAACTCTTGGTTTGGGCTTAGGTCATGATCTCAGAGTTGAGAGATGGAGCCGCATGCCAGGCTCTGGGTTTACCGGGGAGTTGGCTGGAGATAATATCTCTCCCTCTGCCTCTGCCCCCCTCCCTGTGCTCCCTCTCTCTCTCAGATAAATAAATCTTTTTTTTTTTAAGTGATTAAATGCTTTCAAATTACCAAATAGAAGTTTTTGTTTCTAATCTTCATCTTTCTTATCCACTTGATGGTATTGGACATCAATACCATCTACTACTTCCTTGTCCTTGAGGCATACAGCCTCTCAGGGCTTTCCGGAAATGGCCTGTCACACCCTCCTTTCTACCTCTCTGCTGTCCGCTCCGATCAGGTTGTAGATGTTGGCATGCTCCAGGGCACTGCCCTACTCTCATCTTTTTCCCTAGGTGGCCTTTTCTGTTTTCGTGGCTTAAATGTTACCTATGCGATATCCACATAGATACAGAGCCCATGTCAAGTTTATACCATGAGGCCCTCCCAGTTTCTAAGCTCTAAAATCTCTTATCCAACTGCCTCCCTAGCCATCCGTCTGCATGGTGTCAACAGATTCTGTATGGGAGGAAAAGCTTCTCCCTGGAAGCCTTCTTGGTATCTCCTCCCCTGGCAAGGAAAGAGTGCCCTAGTCTCCTCCTCTTCTCATGAGACTCCAATCCCTTTACGAAGGCTCTACCCTCCAGAACTTACCTACACCTAATTCTCTCCTAATACTACCACTTTGGGTGTTGGGCTTCAACATATGAATTTGAATAGGTAGTCCATAAGAGAGTGCATCTTAAAACTGGTGAAATCTGACTTAGGCCTATTAGCAGTATTGTACAGATATCAGTTTCCTAGTGTTGACATCTTACTAAAGCTACGTAAGATGTTACCATTAGGTAACATTCAGTAACAGAATGATTCATGGATTCTGCACTATTTGTGCAACTTGTTCTGGATTTATAATTATTTTGAAATAAAAAGTTTTTTCAAATTGCTACTGAAAAATTTATGGTAAGATACCACTTCACACCCACTAGGTGGCTATAATCAAAAAGACAGATGAGGGGCTCCTGGGTGGCTCAGTGGGTTAAAGCCTCTGCCTTCCTCTCGGGTCGTGATCCTGGGGTCCTGGGATCAAGCCCCACATCGGGCTCCCTGCTCGGCGGGGAGCCTGCTTCCCCGTCTCTCTCTGCCTGCCTCTCTGCCTACTTGTGATCTCTGCCTGTCAAATAAATAAATAAAAGCTTTAAAAAAAAAAAAAAAAGACAGATGAGGGGCACCTGGGTGGTTCAGCTGGTTAAGCGGCTGCCTTCGGCACAGGTCATGATCCCAGAGTCCTGGGATCGACTTCTGCATCAGGCTCCTTGTTCAGCAGGGAACTGCTTCTTCCCTCCCTGCCATTCCTCCTCCTGCTTGTGCTTGCTCTCTGTCTCTCTCGCTTCCTCACTCCATCAAATAAATAAATAAAATCTTAAAAAAAAAAAAAAAAAGGTAAGACACTTGGCTGGCTCAGTCTGTAGAGCATGCGACTCTTGATCTTAGGGTGGTGAATTCAAGCACCACGTTGTATGTAGAGACCACCTTAAAAAGAAAAAGAAGAGAGATAATAACAGGTGTTGGGGAAGGTGTGAGGACATTAGAATCCTCATATATTGCTGGTGGGAGCATAAAAATGACATAGCCCTTTTGGAAAACAGTAGTTCAAAAAGCTAAGCATAAATTCCCTTATGAATCAACAATTCCACTTCTAGGTATACCCTTAAGAAAATTTATGTCTACATAAAAATTTATACATGTTATTCACAGCAGCATCATTCATAATAGCCAAAAAATGTCCATCCATGGATGAATGGGTAAATAAAATGTGGTATATCCATACAACAGAATATTATTCCATAAGAAAAAGGAATGAAACACTGATCCCTGTTACAACAATGGATGAACCTTGAAACCATGATAAGTGAAAGAAGCCAGTCACAAAAGACCACATATTGTATGATTCTATTTCTATGAAATGTCCAGAATAGTCAGATCTGTAGAAATAGAAAGCATGTGACTGGTTACCAGGAGCTGGGGCAGAGGGGGAAGGAGTCAGAAGTTGACAGCTAAGGTGAACAGGGTTCTTTGCGGGGAAGGGGTGAGGAAAATGTTTTAAAATTGATTCTTGTGATAGCCACACAACTCTGTAAATATACAAAAAGCACTGAATTATTCATCTTAAGTGGGGGATTTATTTGGGAATTATACCTCAAAAAAAGCTGTTGTTTAAAAAAAAAAAAAGATGGAAAAGAACAAGTATGCCTGGGAAACATAGGTCTTTGGGGGAAAAAATGGCCTGGTGAATTTGGACCCCAGCAATACTGCGAATGGTATAAATCTTTCATGGGACCAGGGGTGGAGAAGTAATATTGACGGTGTAAACAGCTGACATTTATCTAGCACATAAAAATCACCAAGCCTGGGGCTTGGGTTAAGCTGCTGCCTTCGGCTCGGATCATGATCTCAAGGTCCTGGGATCGAGTCCCGAATCGGGCTCCCTGCTCAGCGGGGAGTCTGCTTCCCTCTCTCTCTCTGCCTGCCTCTCTGCCTACTTGTGATCTCTCTCTGTCAAATAAATAAATAAAATCTTTAAAAAAAAAAAAAATCACCAAGCCCCAAGTTAGGCATTTTAAATAGAAAAGTTTGTTACTTTCTCTTCAAGTGTTGTATCTATCCATTATCTCTCTTCTCTCCTTCTGCAACTCCAGTTACACTATGTTAAACTTTGTCCCATTACCTCATATACATAATATATATAGTATTTATGTGTGTATTATATGTTATATAAATTACATAGATATATGTTATATATATATATATAATATTCTTTTCTCTATTTTTTATCTTTTTGCCTCTCTGGGTTTCAGATGAAAATTTTTTCTGCCCTATCTTTGAGTTCTCTTTTCAGATGTATCTAATATGATAATAAACCTGGGTATTGATTTCTTAATATGTTATTGTACATTTTCAGTTGTAAAATTTTCATTTGGTTCTTTTTTTTACAGTTTTTAATTCCTTACCAAATCTTTTCATCTTGACTATGATTTCCTTGAGCATAATAAACTTTTTTAAATTGCCACTGGATAATATAAAAGGCTCATAGAGATGGAAAGACATACCACATCTTCAGAGAGAAAACCCACGATCACAAAGATACCAGTTTTCTTAAGTTAATTTATAAATTTAACACATTCCCAGTGAAAACCCCAGTAAGCATTTTAGAGATTCTGTTTTGGATTTCATTAGCTACTTTTATCATTCACAGGAAAAATAGATAAACTAAAATAGTAAGGAGCACTCTGTAAAAGAAAAGTAATTAGCAGGTTCTGTTATTACCAAGAAGGTATTAAAATATATTATGAATCTTCAATAATTAAAAGAATGAGAAACTGATGTATGAATAGACAAAAGGAAAAATAAATTCAGATACATACAGGAATTTAGCATATAATAAAAATAACATCTCAGCTCAGAGGGAAAAAGATGAACTATTTAATAAATAGCAACAAGAAGATCAGAGGGAAAAAGATGAACTATTTAATAAATAGGAACAAGGAGAGCCATCTGGAAAAAACTAAGTTGGATTCCTCACACCAAGAAATTAGATTTTTCTTTTAAATCAAAGATTTAAACTTAAAAAATAAAGCCATACAGTCACATGAAACCATCACCATAATCAAGATTACGGTTTCACAGATGCATGCCTATGTCCAAACTCATCAAATTATATGTATTAAATATGTGCAATTTTTGGTATATCAGTTCTGTAGAGGCCACTTTTGGCAAACAGGCTTGAGCAACGGGAAAGTGGAAAGAGCCCTCAGGGATCCCCTGGCTGAATACAGACAGGCCCATCAGATGACCCACCTGGAAATCTCCATAAGCCCTAACTGACCCACAGGCTACTTCAAACCAGGCACAGTTATCAAAAAGGAGGAAATTCCATACATGGCCATACTGCCTCATCCTCCCTCTTTCTAAAGAGCCCCGTCCACTGCTTCTGTGACAGATAGCCTGT